TCTTTTGAAATGTGTTTGAGACAGTGATTTCTATTTTCTACAAGTATCTACTCTCCCTTTCTTCCCAGGTAACTGATTCTCTAAAGGTTACCTGGACCTCTGGCTAGCCAGAATAAAGATTATATTTTTCAGACCTAGTCTGTTTGGCTTAGTGGATAGAGTGTCAGTCTGCAAACCTAAGGGTCCCCGGTTCGATTCTGATCAAGGGCATGTACCTAGGTTGCAGGCTCCTCCCTGGCCTGGGCCCAAGTCAGGGCACATGCAGGAGGCAACCAATTGAAGTGTTTCTCTCACATCAATATTCTCTCTCTAAAAGTCAATGGAAAATATCCTCGGGTGAGGATTATTAAAAAAAAGATTACATTTTTCAGTCATGTAACTGGTTTCTAGCTAATGGAACATAGCCTAAGTGATGAGCATGACTTTTAAGAAATGTCCTTAAGGGCAATCATCAGACCATATTCATTCTCTTTTTTCTCCTTGCTGACTAGAATGTGGATGTGGTTGGAGCTAGAGCAGCTGCATTATATTATGAGGTAGAAATTATATGTTGAGGACAATGACACATAAAATAGAGGGAGCCTGGGACCTGGTGACCTTGGATCCTTCATGCCAGCCTGGGAACACTTTTTTTTTTAACAAAAAGAAATAAAATTTTAGGCCCTTGTTATTTTGACATACTGTCATAAACACAAACCCAATTCTAACTAATACACTGCTATATTCCAAACTAGACTGTAAACTCCTTTGAGAAGGAGAGATTTATACCTGGTTTATTCAAGTTAAAAGATGTACAGGCTTCACAAAGTATCTTATGTGGGTACTAGAGGCCCGGTACACGAAATTTGTGCACTTGGGGGGGGGGATCCCTCAGCCCAGATTGCGGGAGGGCGCAGGCAGGCCGAGGGGCCCCACTGGTGCACCATCAGGGCCCGGGAGGGACACATGAAGTTGGCAAGCCGGGGAGGGACTGCGGGATTACTCTAGGGAGTGTGCAGCCCATCTCAGTCCCAATCAGCTGGACCCCAGTAGCAAGCTAACCTACCGGTCAGAGAAACTGCTCCCTGGTGGTCAGTGCACGTCATAGCAACTGGTTGACTGGTCGACTGTCTATCCCCTGGTGGTCAGTGCACATCATAGCGAGTGGTTGAGCAGCCTTAGCATATCATTAACATATTACACTTTGATTGGTTGAATGGTTGACCAGATGACCGGACACTTAGCACATTAGGCTTTTATTATATAGGATTGTGATAGGAACCTTTCATTTGCCAAGTCTCCATGGAGTACAGTCTAAGTAATTTTATTTCCTCTCTCATAGCACCTTCAAACTCACTCACTGGGATTTGTCTTTGTAACCTTAAGGTCCCAATATTTTCCCTCTTACTTTCAGGAACATGTACGTGAAGATGAATAGTCCCTTTGCTTTTGTTTACAAAGTTCAATTCACAGGAGCCAACTTCAAGAAGCTCCCATTCATCAAAGATGGAAGAATTTGGGCATCAAAAAGAACAATAATGTAAACAAACTGAAGAACAACCAAAATGTTAAAATCACAAGTTCATAAGACATTTGAAGAAAAATCCCAACTCATTGATCATTTTTGGAAGATGCTGGAGAACCAATTTATTATTCTGGAAATTTCCTGAGGAACTCTATCTCAGTTTAGTAATCAAATATTTAATAAGGGAAAGTCCTTTAGAGAAGAATTCCAGCTAATACATGAAAAAGTGATAGAATATCACCACTTTGCAATCCCAATGACATAATGGGTCTGTGCAATCATCATCAATGACTGCTAAAATCATTATGTGAGCCCTAGCCAGTTTGGCTCAGTGTATAGAGTGTTGGCCTGAGGACTGAATGGTCCCAGGTTTGATTCCGGTCTAGA